TGGCTTTATTTCACATTTTTGTCCTCCAACTTTTGGTATGCATAAGTACACACTTAAACTTGTATAAAGTTGAACAAGTAGACACATGAGTCCTATGTGTCGTAATACACATATAATGCAAATTGCCATGTAGTATGTCACGTAAGACGTGTGTGTCTATTTGTGCAATTTTATATAAATTTAAGTGTTTACTGATGTACACTTAAAGTTGGAGAGTATAAATGTGATATGTGATCAAATTAACGGCATATTCATATATTCATGTATTATATGATTAAACAAACTCCAAAGGGGTAAAACTAACCAAAATGGACTACACTTTTATCATTGACTGAAAATAGAAAATTGAGCACACTTTTTTCCATTTTTTGCTCCTTTTTGTGAAGACCCCAACAGTGGAAAATTTGCATTTGTGTGGTGTGCTTATATTTATAGTATATATAGTATTTAATACCAAGAAAAGTCAAATACTCAATACCCTTCTCTCTCTCTTCTTTGATCAGATTTTCAGGTAATTCTCCTCTGTTCTTAATTTCTTCACTATTTTTTTTTTTGATATTACACTTTCTCCATGTCCACCCCTTCTGAAAATACTGAAAAAGATTGCATTTTGCTCTTTTTTTTCTTTTTTGAGAATTCATCCACCAAGATTTCAGCTTTCTGCTTGACTTTGATTCCTGTACATATAAATAGGTTCTTTGTTCTTTCGATTTTTGTTACTATTTATTGTCTCGTGTAATTCTTTTATCGTATTATTTTGTTATAGTTACTATTTCTTTATTTAGTATGCTTTGTGTAGTATTTTGTATTGGTTTCTTCACTCTTGTTATTTTACTGAGCTAGAAAAAACTCCTCAGTAGGATAAGGTCTGCGTACACACTACTAACTTCCTCATATTCCACTTGTGAAATTAAACTGAGTATGTTGTTGTTGTTGTTTTCGGGGTTTAAGCTCTGGGTATTGTATTATTAGCAAGTTGATGTGAAAAGTTCTTCTATTATTGATAGTTTTATGGTTGAATAGGATTTTATTTGGAGATGACATTTAGGGGTTTTGAATATTTGATTCTTGCAGATTAGTTGAAAATTGATATAATGGGGCAATATCATGAGGCAGGATCTGCAATTAAATTAGAGGATGAAGATTGCTCATTTTTCCCTGATCCGAATCTGATTAATAATCTCAGAGTTAATGATTACTTTCATGAGGATTATGATCCGAATTTGATTAATAATCTCAGAGTTAGTGATAATTTAGTCAACAGGAATGTTGACATTAGTAGTCCATTTCAATCTGATTTCGGACGAAATACTTTAGTCCCATCAACTGCAGATGACTTTCATGAGGATTATGATTTCAGTGATGGGGTTCTTAAGTATATAAATCAGATGCTTATGGAAGAGGATATTGAAGAAAAGACTTGCATGTTTCAAGAATCTGCAGCTCTTCAAGCTGCAGAAAGATCGTTTTACGAAGTTATTGGAGAGAAGTACCCTTCTTCCGCGAATTGTGAGAAGCCATCCAGTTTAAGTCAAAATGAACGTTATGCTATGGACCACTATAGTGGAAATGGTGGTCGTGACAGCTTACTATGCCCAAATTGGATTCTTGATCTTGGTGAGGATGATGTGTCACATGTTCCCGATGGTGTTGCTTTGCATCCAACTTCTCGGTCATCCAACAGTTTGTCAGGCACTGCCCCGGATGTGCCTGTGGATTCTCCTGTGAGCACACTTAGGATTCCTGACATATTTAGTGACGGAGAGTCTGTTATGCAGTTTAAGAAAGGGATGGAGGAGGCAAGTAAGTTCCTTCCTACGGGCAATAGCTTGCTTGCTGATGTGAGGTATAATGTAGTGGGAAAGGAGCTGCAGTATAAAGAGAGAAAAGATGCAGTAGTAAAGGTTGACAAGTATGGGGAAAAGCAATATACTGAAAGGTCGAGAGGGAAGAAAAACACCCTTCATGAAGGTATAGTAGATTTACCGGAAGGGAGAAATTACAAGCAGTCTGCAGTGTTTTCTGAATCAACTGTTCGATCGGAAATGTTTGATAGGGTGCTGCTATGCAGTGGAGGGAAAAATGAATCTGCTCTTCGTGAAGCCTTGCAGGCTATATCAAGGCAAAATGCATCAAAGAATGGCCCTTCAAAGGGAGCTAATGGTAAGAAGTTACAAGGAAAGAAAAAAGGGGGTAAAAGAGATGTGGTAGACTTGAGAACACTCCTGACACTTTGTGCACAAGCTGTTGCTGTAGGTAATCAACGGACCGCAAATGAGCTTCTGAAGCAGATCAGGGAAAGTTCTTCTCCTATGGGCGATGGAATGCAGAGGTTGGCCCATTATTTTGCTGACGGTCTTGAGGCACGGATGGCTGGTTCCGGTACTCATATCTATAAAGCCCTTATTACACGACCTGTATCAGCAACTGATGTCTTGAAAGCGTACCACCTACTGCTTGCTGCCTGCCCGTTCAGGACTATCTCTAGCTTTTTCTCAAATAAGACAATTATGAATCTAGCTGAAAAGGCTTCAACAGTACATATTATAGATATTGGCATTATGTGGGGTTTCCAATGGCCTGGCCTCATACAACGTCTCGCTTCTAGACCAGGTGGACCTCCCAAGCTTCGTATAACTGGGATTGATTTTCCAAATCCTGGTTTTCGACCAGCAGAAAGGGTTGAGGAAACAGGGAAGCGGTTAGCTAATTACGCTGAGAGCTTCAAAGTTCCTTTTGAGTTCAATGCTATAGCGCAAAAGTGGGAAACAGTTAAACTCGAGGATCTTAAGATCAATAAGGGTGAGGTTCTTGTGGTAAACTGTCTGTACCGTTTTAGGAATCTACTTGATGAGACTGTGGTGGTCAATAGTCCAAGAGATGTTTTCCTGAATCTTATCAGGAGGTTGAATCCAGATGTTTTCATACAGGGAACTGTAAATGGTGGTTATAATGCCCCATTCTTTATCTCACGATTCCGTGAGGCTCTCTTTCACTACTCATCCCTGTTTGATATGCTTGAAACTATTATTCCCCGGGAAGTGCACGAGAGAATGCTGATTGAAAAGAATATACTTGGTCAGGAGGCAATGAATGCCATTGCATGCGAAGGTGCTGAGAGAATTGAGAGACCAGAAACATACAAGCAATGGCAAGTCAGAATTCTGAATGCTGGTTTTCGGCAGCTTCCTTTGGATGAGGAGATCATGAGAATGACAACAGAACGATTCAAGGTGTATGACAAGAATTTCATTATTGACAATGATAGTGAATGGCTACTGCAGGGATGGAAGGGTCGTATCTCATTTGCACTGTCAACATGGAAGGCAGCTTATTGAAGGAGCACATTCAGCAGCCATGATACCCCTCTGCCCCTTGTAAACAACGAGCTCATGAACGGTACTCACTTTACCAAGTGCTAGTTATTAATTTGGTCATTTCTCTAGTGTTAAATCAACAAGCACAAATGTGAATTGCTATGTTCATAACACTGATTTGCTTATTGGGCAGTGGAAGCAGAACTTCATTTGTTGCCTTCCTCCCCTAACGCGTTGAACTGCGGCATCAACAACAGGAGAGAGGAATGACAACAATTTTTGAGCAGCATTTGTGTCTGGTACTACTCGTTTTTCTAGAACATAACATTATTAAGTATTGAGCAAATAGGCGATGTGTATTGCAATTGGTTTCTCTTCGTTTATGTTTCTCCAAATAATTCCAGTATGTTATAGGCCGGTATCTCTCTACTAATAAAGGTGAGTTCCGGCATGCTTATTCTTCATTGGCATCTTCTTATCAATCATGAGTAGCATTTTGATATTGATATTGATGTTTAATATTTGAGCCGGGGGTTTATAGGAACAGCCTCTCTACCTTTGAACCGAGGTTTCTATGATTAATTTTTTTGATGACCAATTACCTAATGTATAGATGATTTTGCTAATGTGAAGGATAAACAGGTAGCTTGCATATTGATCAGCCTTTTAGATTTGGATAATATGTGTAGTACTTAGCTTACTCCTTGTCACAATTCTTTGGTTCATTCTTGGGCTCTTCTTTCACGATAAGCATCTTAATGCACGCTCCTTGTCACAATTCTTAAGATCATTCTTGGAATTTTTTTTTTTACGGTAAACATATTCTTGATCTCTCATTAAAGCTCAATAGTCTTGTCTTGCATCTCCTTAATTTCCAAAGCTTCTTCCAAGTTCTTTAATGGAAGTAAGACACCACATATGCTATAAGGTCATTAGGCAGGACATGACATATCTTCAGCTCACCGAGGATATGATCCTAAATATGAGAGCGACAAGACATGATACTATTACTACTATTATCACATGAGAGCATGTAAATTATTGGACCGGAGATGATACTACTACTCGAATATTTTCTAATAATCAAATAAGACAAGTCTGCACGTAGCTTTCGATCTCCTCTCTAATTTGTGGCCAATAACTTGCCGACTTCAAAAGTGCTCACGTGCCTTGTTGGCCCGGATAACCAATCCACTTGTAACAAATGTCATGAACAATTTAACTAAACAACAAATAAAAGTCAAAAAGTCTCTATGAGAATCAAATCAATTCGATTCGATTAAATATTTTATTTTTCAAATTTGATGCCTATTTTTACTTTTACGAAATTATATTAACTATATTGCTCAGTCAAAAATTATTTTCACATTTTGATTTATATAATATAGTCTGAATTTCAAAAGTACATATTTAAAATTTACATAAAAATACTACATATTATTAAAAAAAAATCAATTCAAATATCTAAACAGGCATATAATCTAAATTTACATCACATAAATTGAATGAGAGAGTAATTAAAATTGAATGGATTTGGAGGGAGTATCCATTTCCTTTTTTTAAAGTATATGTTCGTGTTGGAACCGTGTACGCGTAACAAGGTTAAAAATGTAAATTTGTCAAATGAAATATCGTGCCGACGAATCTCCCTTTTCCCTCAATAAATACCTCGCTCTCACTCACCATTTTCCTCACACAATTGACAATTCTGCTAAACCCCCAAAAAACACTCATTTTCTCATCTGATCAAATATGGCAGGAATCATCCACAAAATTGAGGAGAAACTCCACATCGGAGGAGGCCACAAGGAAGAAGAACACAAAAAGGAGGAACACAAGGGAGAAGGACACAAGAAGGAGGAGCACAAGGAAGGATTTGTTGAGAAGATAAAAGACAAGATCCATGGAGAAGAAAGTGGAGAGCATCACAAGGATGGAAAAGAGAAGAAGAAGAAGAAAGACAAAAAGGAGAAGAAGGAGAAAAAGCATGATGGACATGATAGTAGCAGCAGCAGCGACAGTGATTAGATCTGATCTGAGCGCATCTGAACAGATTGATTTCCTATTTACCTAACAACATTTCAACTATAGTATTTTCTGCTATAGATCTATCTATCTATGTGAGAAAAACCAGAAAAATGAAAAAAAAAAGATCTCGTGTTAACTGCTTTTGTTGTGATTTGTGAATGTACTCGTCTTTTGGACGGTTTGTGAATGTGATGATATTATAATAAAAACTTGCAGTTTTTAAATAATTTGACTTTGTTTCGAATTATAGTATTTCTCTGCACGTTACCAAAGAAACTGATGTGTTGACCTCATAGACAAACTGATGTGTTCACGTTGGTCGGAATGACTCAGTTGATTTGGAGGATGATTATCTACACTATGACTCGGAATTGATCCCTCTGTCTTTCGAGTTGAGACTATCGCATAAGATTTATCTCTAATGCACAATATTATCATCAACTCTATCAATAATTTGTCTTTTGAGTTGAGACTATTTCAAAAAAATTGTTTAATATCATCAACTCTACCAATAATTTGTATCTGAGCAACTATAACAATTAATTCATCTATTTTGACACCTTATATCAATCTTCACAAATCACAATATTGTCGAAGTTTCAAGTTGCCCTATGCCTAAGAAAAACACAATTTTATGTAGAACAAAGGGATGTAGTAAGAAAAATTAGTACCAGAATCAAATGGAAACTCACTACAAACAAATTCAATTTTTATGTTTGATTGATGAAAATAATCATCCAGTGTTTTTTGTCTCCATTGAATATTAAACCTGAAAACTAAAGGTTCTCAACCCAGGCACTGCAAATTGCAAAATATCTACAAAATGGCTGAAGTTGGAAAGGATATCAATTGCTCAAGTTAGCAATATAGTATATCTAGTTTTCTTTCTAGCCTATCTTCTAAAAAAAGATGAAAGCAACCTATATAAACGAATTATTTTGGGAAAAGACACAAATATGCTTATTGAACTTTAAAAAAAAGGTTCATTTAACAATCTGTTGAAAGTTCGGTTAATTTATCCTATTTTCGTTTGAGAAAAAACTCATTCATGTCATTATTTGTTAATCGAAAACAGTTTCAATTTTGTAAAACTTTTTTTGACACATGGACAATTATGATTTGACCACGTCATTAATTAATCTTTTCTTTTAAAAGAAAAAAGGCTTAAATATGTCATCAAACTCTAAAAAAAATGCTTATATATACTATTCGTTAAAATACGGACTCATCTACGCTATTTCAATTTAAAAAAATGACATGAATGAGTATTTTCTCAATCGGAAATGACGTGAGTAAAATTTTTTAACTAATGACATAAATAAATTTTTTCTCAAAGTTTGATAGCATATTGGAGCATTTTCTCTTATTTCAATTTGTATATCATTTAATGTTGTGATCTTGTTGGGTTAAAAATTGAAATGAAAGAGAGAGGGAGAATTAACTGAGAATATAGAAAAATTAAGAGAGAATTATGCAAGTCTATTTAGGAAGAATCAAATGATTAATATTATTTCACCATAATAATCTCTCATATACAATGAAAAACAAAGAATCAATAGAATAATAGGATCAATTACAAGAATAAAAGCCACCACATCCAATCTCAATCATCCAAGCAAATAGAAAAAACATACATCTTTAATGCCTTAGTACAGCGAACAGGGACATGAGCAAGGAAGTTCCGATCAAAGCACCGGAAACCGGCAAAGAGAAAGCCGCACCGGCATCAGGCGCCGGAGCTGGAGCAAGACTAGGTTCCTGAGCTGAGACGACGACGGCAGCGAGAAAGACGGCGAGGACAAAAGCCTTGATGATGCTAACAGAAGCCATTGATGAAATAGAAAGGAGAATTTTGATGAATTCGAAGCGAATGATGAGAATTGAAATGGAGGAGGAGAGATTTGTGCAAAATTGATGATGAAAATTGAGTGTAGAAAAGGAATATTTATAGTAAAAGACAATAAAAATGACAGCTGAATTTGTTGAAGAAACAGCTCATGACACGCTATAATGGTTGAACTGGCCATGTTGTTAGGTGGGGTTGAACCAGCAAAGAAACGTTGTAAAAAGATTCCCACCCGTTAATACTTTTGGAAAAGGTACTAATCTTCTTTATAATTGCAGGCATTATACTTTATTAAATAAAGTATTGATTTTTTTAATTAATTAATATGTGTTTTTTAAGTTTTTTTTAATTTAAAAGTATGTTGTATTTTAAAACTATTTTTTATAATTGTATGTGTATATAGACCTTATTCCTATCTTATAATGATATGAAGATTGTTTCGGATAGAGCCTTTGGCTCAGGAAGGGATGACAAAGAAGTTGAAGTTGACCTTCACACCCTCCTATAAGGGTCCCCAAAAAGACAAAGTTGCATAATTTTCGGCTTAATTTTTTTTTCTCGATACTTCTTTGGCCCATCTCTGCCTTTTATTTGGTTAGCTATATATGGACAATCTCTGATACGTGCTCACTGGAGTATTCATGCATCTCCTTTCCCATGGTCCGAATTGTCTCAACTTTTCTTCCCTCGCTGTATTGATCACAAAAGTCACTCTCACCTTGTTTCGAATATCTTTATTCCTAATCTTATCTTTCCTAATATGTCCACATACATATTCATCTCAGTATTATCATCTCCACTACTATTATTTTCTGGATATGAATGTGCTTAATTAGCTAACACTCCGTCCCTTACAACATAGTTGACCTAACTATCACTATGTAGAACTTGTCTTTCAGTCTTGGTGGCACATTCTTATCATACAACATACCAAAAATAAGCCACTATTTCATCCATCCCACTCCAATACCAGCCATTATAGTCAATCTCTTTATTGTAGAGGTAAGTTTCTTGAGAAAAATCACAATTGACATAACTTTTTGTCCAATATGAGCAAACGTTATATGCTCTTGAAATAGCATTAAGTGACTATTAATTTTCTTTTGCAATTAGTTAACCTTTTGACAATTGACCCATATTCTTCATTGTTATTAACCCTATTTATTACTTGACAATTAATAGTTGGAGCCAAAAGCTAAACTCATGTTGTGATCTTCATCTATATCTATTTGTTAGTCTTCTTCATTTGGGAAGAGGAGATCAAGATAAATTCCTCCTTTCTGTATTTTAGTATGCTTCGTCTCTATTTAATCTTTGTTTGATTCTGGCTTCTAGTTTTATATAGAAGAGTTTGTCGAATTCTAAGGGTTAGGAAATACATTTATACCACATGAAATATTCTTAAGGACACTGTTTTTGCTTTCATGAATTCACTATAGTGTCTGTCAATCAAGTATTTTCCGTAAGATTTATGAAAATTTTCTTTTAAGGCTAAATGGGCTAAAATCCAAAAGGATCCAACATTATCATCATGGGCCCATAGCCCATTACTTAATTGGGCCCACAAAGAAGGAATATGCATCGAATAAAGCCCATTATTCTCATCAACTTGACTAAATTCACATTCCCTATAAATAATAATTAAAAAATTAACCATAAAATATATTTTTTTTTAAATAAGTGACCCATTTTCAAACTCCACAATTACTCAGCACTTTCGCGGGAATTTAAAAACTTTCAATTCAACAAATCAAAATCAACCACGTGTCTAAACTTGATGCCACGTAGGATAATCAACAATTATAATATATAGCTTCCCTCACACGATTAAATAGAAGTCAAAATAACAGCTTCCTGAAGAAGTCTGTACTATTATAAAATCTCACACACACATGCTCTTTGTTAACTCAATTTTTTCTTGATTCTCACGAGTCTGTTTATAATCACGACTGTTATAACTATTTTCAATTTTTGAGAGAGATTGGCGCGTTATGCGATTATGGTGAAGAGTGATTATGAATTGGTGGAAATAGATGAAGGATGCAACACACCAAGGCATGATAAATATAGGATTTTGGTGAATTCCAAGTGCCCGCCGCCAACGCCAAGGAAGAAAAGAATTTATGTGAAACAACAAAGTTCTCCACCTAAGGAAGGTTATTTTCAGCCTCCTGATCTTGAGATTTTATTCGCTATCGTCCCAAGGAGGGTGACTCATGTTTAAATATTGTCTATTGAAAATAACATGATAATTTACTCTGTTTGTTTTTTTTAGATGTGTCCAAGATTTTGTACAATGTAGAATTGGTTTAGCACTATGGGGGGGGGGGGGGGGGTTTTTTTATGTC